GATTGCCAGGAGAAATATAAATAATCTCAAATATGCAGATGACACCACCATTATGACACAAAGAGAATAAGAACTAAAGAGCCTCTTGTTGAAAGTAAAAGAGGAGAGTGAAAAAGTTGGCTTAAAACTCAATATTCAAAAGACAAAGATCATGGCATCTGGTCCCATCACTTCATGGCAAATAGATGGGGAAACAGTGGAAACAGTTACAGACTTTATTTTGTTGGGCTCCAAAATCACTGCAGATGGTGGCTGCAGCCATGAAATTCTCCTTGGAAGAAAAGTTTTGACCAACCTAGACAGTATATTAAAAAGCAGACATATTACTTTGCCAACAAAGGTCTCTCTAGTCAAAGCTATGGTTTTTTCCAGTGATCATGTATGGATGTAAGAGTTGGACTGTAAAGAAAACTGAGTGCTGAAGAACTGATGGTTTTGACCTGTGGTGTTGGAGAAGACTCTTGAGAGTCTGTTGGACACCAAGGAGATCCAAATCAGTCCATCCTAAAGGAAATAAGTCCTGAATATTCATTGGAAGGACTGATGCTGAAGCTGAAACTCCAATACTTTGCCCACCTGATGGGAAGAACTGACTCATTTGAAAAGACCCTGATGCTGGGAAAGATTGAAGGCAGGAGAAGAAGGGGGCGACAGGATGATATGGTTGGCTGGCATCAATGACTCAATGGGCATGAGTTTGAGTAAACTCCAGGAGTTCGTGATGGACAGGGAGGCCTGGTGTTCTGCATTCTATGGGGTCGCAAAGAGTCGGACACGACTGAGTGACTGAACTTTGAACTTGGCTATATGGGGTCTTGTGTGTCTCCATACAAATTTTGAGATTTTTTTTGTACTAGTTCTGTGAAAATTGCCATTAGTAATTTGATAGGAATTGTACTGAATTTGTAGATTGCCTTGGATAATATAGTTTTTAACAATATTGATTCTTCCAGTCCACAAACATGGTATATCTTTTCATATGCTTATATCTCCTTCGATTTCTTTCATCAGCATCTTATAGTTTTGGAGTTACAGCTCTTTGTTTTGTCTCCTTAGGTAGATTTATGCCTAGGTATTTAATTATTTTTGATCTTTGCCCATTTTTGAGTCAGATTCTTTTTTGTTGTTGAATTTTAGAATTTATATATATTAGGCTGGTGCAAACATAATTTTGGTTTCAGACCATGAATTTTAAATCATTATAACTAGACTCAAACACATCTTTATAAATCAAAATAGGAACCATTACAATCAACACACTTTTGCCAATGAGAAATAAGTTTGTTTATTCCTGTAGCATAAAAATCCACGCTTCGGGATTCAGTGAACTCTTGGGAAGCATTTTCCGCATCCTGCTTATTGTGCAAGTGTTTTCTCTGCAAAAAGTTGTTGAGATGCTTGAAAAAGTGGTATTCAGTTGGCAAGAGGTCAGGTGAATATGGCAGATGAGGCAAAACTTTGTAGCCCAATTCGTTCAACTTTTGAAGTGTTGGTCGTGCAATGTGTGGTTGGTCATTGCCATGGAGAAGAATTAAGATCCTTTCTGTTGAAAAAGAGACACAGATGTATAGAACAGACTTTTGGACTCTGTGGGAGAAGGCGAGTGGGATGTTTCAAGAGAACAGCATCGAAACATGTATATTATCTAGGGTGAAACAGATCACCAGGTTGGATGCATGAGACAAGTGCTCGGGCCTGGTGCACTTGGAAGACCCAGAGGGATCGGGTGGAGAGGGAGGTGGGAGGGGGGACTGGGATGGGGAATACATGTAAATCCATGGCTAATTCATTTCAATGTATGACAAAAACCACTGCAATGTTGTAAAGTAATTAGCCTCCAACTAATAAAAATAAATGAAAAAAAAAATTCAACATTCAAAAAATGAAGATCATGGCGTTTGGTTCCATCACCTCATGGCAAATAGATGGGGAAACAATGGAAACAGTGACAGACTCTTTTGGGCGGCTCCAAAATCACTGCAGATGGTGGCTGTAGCAAAAAAAAAAAAAAAAAAAGATCCTTTCTGTTGACCAATGCCGGTTGTAGGCATTGCAGTTTTCAGTGCTTCGCATCAATTTGCTGAGCATACTTCTCAGATGTAATGGTTTCATTGAAATTCAGGAAGCTGTAGTGGATCAGATGGGCAGCAGACCACCAAACAGTGAACATGAACTTCTTTTGGGGCAAGTTTTCTTTGGGAAGTGCTTTGGAACTTCTTCTTGGTCCAACCCCTGAGTTTGTCATCACTGGTTGTCTTACACAACCCACTATTTGTTGCACATCACAATCTGATCAAGAAATGTTCATTGCTGTTGCATAGATTAAGAGAAGACAACACTTCAAAACAACATTTTTTTTTTTTTTGGTCAGCACTTGAGGCACTCCACTTATTGAGCTTTTTCCCTTTCCAATTGCTTCAAATGCCAAATGACTATAGAATGGTCAGTGTTGAGTTCTTGGGCAACTTTTTTTGTAGTTGTAAGAGGATCAGCTTCAGTGATGGCTCTCAATTTGTTGCTGTCAACTTCTAATGGCTGGCCACTATGCTTCTCATCTTCAAGGCTCTCATCTCCTTTGCAAGACTTCTTGAACCACAACTGCACTGTACATTCATTATCTGTTTGTGGGTCAAATGCACTGTTGATGTTGTGAGTTGTCTCTGCTGCTTTTATGACCCATTTTCAACTCAAATTAAAAAAGCTCTTGAATTTAATTTTTGTCTAACATCACTCCCATAGTCCAAAATAAATATAAAACAAACAGTAAGGAATAAGTCATTAGCAAAAAATCATATAGTGAGAAATGTGCATTAAAATCATGGGTAACATAACCACATTTATTTAAAATGTATTCTAATATCAAACGGCAAATTTCAACTATGCAAAACCACAGTTACTTTTGCATCACCCTAGTATATTCTTGACATTAATTCTTTACTAGACATATGACTGGCAGATACTTTTTGCTTTTCTATAAATTGCATTTTCACTCTGTGGAGATTGTCTTTGATGCATGAAAGTTTTTTTCATTTTTATGAAGTACAATTTGCCTATTTTGCCTTTTTTTGCTTATGCCTTTGATATCATAAACAAGAAATCATTAACAAATCTAATATTGTGAATCTTTTGTCCTATGTTTTCTTCTAAGGGTTTTATAGTTTTTGGTCTTTGACCCATTTTGAGTGGTGTTAAGTATGGGTCCAAATAACTATATATCCCTCTCTTTTGGACCTCCTTCCATCTAGGTCACCACAGTGCGTTAAGTAGAATTCCCTGTGCTATACAGTATAGAACATGATGTTTTGATATGTGTATACATTATGAAATAGTAACCACAGTAAAGCTAATTAACATATCTATATCCATCACCTCATACAGTTACCATTTTCTTTTTTGGTGATGAGAACACTTGAGATCTACTATTCTACAACATTTCAACTTTACATTATTATTAATTATAGTCACGATAGTGTACTTGTGGAAAACTGTAGAACTTAGTTAACACCATTCAAACTGGATCAAAGACCTAAATGTAAGAACTAAAGCTATAGGTTATGTTTTTACTCTGTGGATATTGTCTTTTGATACATGAAAGTTTTTAATTTTCATGAAGTACTATTTGCCTGTTTTGCCTTTTGCTACTTATGTATATGTATAATCTATTCATTTTGCTATACAGTAGAAACTAGCACAACATTGTAAAGCTACTGTGAAAGTGAAAGTGAAAGTCGCTCAGTCATGTCTGAATCTTTGCGACCCCATGAACTATATAGTCCATGGAATTCTCTAGGCCAGAATACTGGAATGGATAGTCTTTCCCTTCTTTAAGGGAATCTTCCCAACCCAGGGATCAAACCCAGGTCTCCCTCACTGCAGGTAGATTCTTTACAAGCTGAGCTACAAAGCTAACATACTCAAGTAAAAATTTTTTGAAAATCATATTTTGTACCTTTAATATTTATAATTTTCACTTGTCAGTCACACTTAAATTGGAAAATAAAAAGAAGATAAATCGAAAGTAAATGGCAAGATGTTAGATACAAACTCAAACATATCACTAGTTACACTACATGTAAATAGCCTAAAAACAATTCATATGCTTGTAAGAGAGTATGTCTGTGTGTGTGGGAGATTTTTTTCATCAGGGTTATCTCTAGGTATTGGAACTATTTTCCTTTCATTTTTTTATATTTTGTAGTGTTTTCCTAATGGAAATTATTACCAATATATAAAATATGAAGAATAAAAATTTTAGAAAAATGACAGAGAATTTTTTTCCTTAGGTTATAATTACTTGTGTATATTTTTTTCATTCTTCTTAAGAATCCATACCAAAAGACACAGCTTCAGACATAGGCACTAAATGGAAAATGTAAAGATTTAAAACAAAACCTACTATCCAAAGTCCCTATCATTTTATAACATAAAGAACACCTTAACATCCAAAGAAGAGTTATTATCTTTGATTTAAGATAAGTGCTTTAACTTGAATAAATTCAGCTTAATGAAGCACAATATGTTATCATTGTTTTTCTCATCTTACCACAGAATGGTAGAAACTTTACCATGGATTGGCATCAGTCCTCTGACTGGTTTATTGAGAGTCATCATTATCATACTTGGTCTTCCCTGGTGGTTCAAATGGTAAAGAATCTGCCTGCAATGTGGGAGACCAGGGTTCAATCCCTGGGTCAGGAAGATCCCCTGAAGAAGGGAATGGCAACCCACTCCAGCATTCTTGCCTGGAAAACCCCATGGACAGAGGAGACTAGAGGGCTACTGTCCATGGGGTCACATAGAATCGGACAGGACTGAGTGACTAATACTTTCACTTTCACATTATCATACTGCTTTTATACAATATACTTAACAATCAGTAAGAAAGATCAAGGAGTCCTTCAAATTTGGAAATTTGTTTGCTATTTGACAAATAAAATAGAATGAAGGTATAGTCAAAGTAAAATATTTTGTGCTTTTTGTGTGTATATGTGTGTATTTAGGGTAAATAAGCTGGCAGATTCTGAAATGGAGAGTCAGTCTATCCAGTCTCTTCATTTGATGAGCCAAAGAAGTCAAAACAGGAATTGGAGTAAGAGAGTGTTCAGAAATTATGAAAGACCAGTTATTACCAGACTAAATGAAATTGCTAACATTAAATTTAATACTGGGGTGAGTATATTCACTAAGAATGTAAACCTAGTATATTTGGCTTGGGTGTATATACTATCTGAACTTAAAAGATGTTTGGAGTGTGGCCATAGGAGAGTCAAGCAGATATGGAGCAGTCTGTGCTACAGCGCCATTCATTTCCTGATGCAAGAGAAATGGGTTTTAGATAAAGATCGCAACTGTGTCACTCTCACCATTGTTATTTCTCAGAATCACTGAGAAGTTCTCTTCATTTTCTAATAAATTTTCCCTTTGTTTGGTTCTAACAAGACCCAAGAGTTACTTTTAGAAGATATTGGTTGATCAGATTAGGGGCATTTTCTCACTATGAACCATTGTTAATATACTAAATAAAGTAAAAGATAGTAGTTGTATACAAGTTTTATGGGGATATTTCCCTTAAAAAAGAGAGATGGAAAGATTATGGTTTGATGTTAAATAAAATAAATGAATATAATTTTTTTCCAATCAGAAATAATACAAATATATTAATGAATAAAATCACCTTGACAAGATTTTCAGTGTAGTTAGGTAAGAAACCATATGTTAAGTCTTTTACCTTAATACGTTATACAAATAAACTTTGCCATACCATTTTGTTTTCTTTGGTTAAATTCAAGGATATATTTGTATAATATGTGTTTATCTTTTGCTATAAAAATTTTAAGCATTGAATTTCAATTTGAATATCTTCTTTGGATCATGAGTAATTCTGATGCTATCTTCGTCTCCTCTTTTTAGTTTACACTTTACCGCCAGCAGTTTCATTCCATGTTTTTAAAGAGAGCACTATTCAACTGGCGCAGTTGGAAGTTGACATTGCTACATATATCAATAATTTTGTTTGTCACTACTTACCTCTTAACAACTCTAAACTTGTATTATACTATGCCTGCCAGAGAAATGGACTTAAGTCAATATGGTCGAACAATTGTGCCTTACTCAATTTCTGGGAATTCCGTTTTGGCTCTAAATCTCATAAAGAACCTTGAGATTTTTTTAAAGCTTAAGAATCAAGAACTTCGGGAAGTACAAGGTAAGACCTTTAGGAAAAAAGAGACCGCTGCTATATGAAGACCTATATGTATCACTTGCAAAGAAGAAAGTTAACTATGCTATCTAGCTACCCATTTCTTTCTTTTCCTACTAACTACCAGTATCTTAGAGGCACCTAAATCAAAGATCAAAAATGTACACTTTATGGCAGCTGGGCACAAAAGTTACTAATTAATGGAAGCATTCTCGCTGCAGTGGTCTTTCAGCTAATTGTATCACCTTTTAAAGGATGAGTAAAAGAGCCAAAATACTATGTTGTTGTGAAATTTAGCATACAAATTTGTATTCTGACCAGAATATAAAAATGTTTCTCTAAGCTCTCACAGGGTAAAATAGTTCCAAGATCTGAAGGTTCTTCTTTACAATACTTATCTTTCTAAAAACAGGTGGCTGAAGACTTAATAGATTGATTTTTCAGAACTACTATTTTGAAGATAGTACAAATAGCTGTACTCATTTGTTCAGTGTTTACTTTTGGTCAGAACTGTGAATATACTGAGCAATTTTTCTGCATTATGTTTCTAAATGCTAAAAGCAACCCTTTTTATGTAGCTTTTTTTTTCTGTCCATTTATGTGTAAAGCATGTGTGTTCAGTCATGTCCAATTCTTTGTGACCCCATGGACTGTAGTGCGCCAGGCTCCTGTGTCCATGGAATTTTCCAGGCAAGAACACTATAGTGGGTTACCATTTCTTATTCCAGGGACTCTTCCCAACCCAGGGATCAAACTGTAAGCCGAGTGTGGAGAAAAAGAGAATGAGCCAGGCAGTCAGGCAGAGAACAATTTATTATAGGAAGAAAGCAAGTGACTGGCTTTAGAGAGAAACCAGTACTCTTCCTTCACAACCAACCCTTCTTATACCCTATCAATGGGAAATTGTGCCCTGAAGGGAGGGGGCCTTTGTTTATCTTCAGCCTGCAGCTGGGGTCTTGTGATCATGTAGTCAGAGGGGGTCTCGTGGTCGGGTGGTCACATAGTCTTGAGACACTGGCACCAGCAGGGAAAAACAGGATATCGCCGTAAGGAAAAAACAGTATGCCACCAGGGCAATGTGGCCACTGACTTCAGCCCTTGTTTGTCAGGTAACCATAATGGGCTATTTTTAAACAATACACTATGAGCCAGCCCCTTGTGAACCCTAACACAAACCTGCGTCTCTTGCATCTCCTACATTGACAGGAAAACTTTTTTTTTAACCACAGGACCACCTGGGAAGCCCATAAATTAGCCCAAAACCTAGTGGATGGAGAATTTTGAATTCTTTGTATGTCCACTCTTCCACAAAAGCAACAGAAATACTTGGAAAATAATTCTTAAAAATCAACCAACTTACAATATTGAAAATTAAGCAAAAGCACAGAACAAGCTAAAAAGCGTCTATTTTAAAAACTACTGAACCTCTATTTAAAAAAATAATAGCAAAATCTGTGGCATTTTAGCTTAGAACTATTCCTAGCTATGGATTTTCTAGCTGTTATGTACTGATGTAAGAATTAGACCACAAATACGACTGAGCACTGAAGAATTGATGCTTTCAAACTACAGTGCTGGAGAATCCTCTTGAGAGTCCATTGGACAGCAGCAAGGAGATCAAACAGTCCTAAAGGAAATCAACCTTGAATATTTATTGGAAGGACTGATGTTGAAGCTGAAGCTCTAATACTTTGGCCACCTGATGTGAAGAGCTGACTCACTGGGAAAGACCCTGATGCTGGGAAAGACTGAGGGGGAAGAGGAGATGAGGACAACAGATGATAAGATGGTTGGATAGCATCATTTACTCAATAGACATGAGTTTGAGCAAACTCTGGAAGAGAATGAAGGACAGGAAGTCCTGGCATGCTGCAGTTCATGGGGTTGCAAAGGGTTGGACACAGCTTAGTGACTGAATAACAACAGTTCCTTTGGGTCTCCCTCCCCTCAGTGGTGTGGTATCCATGAAAGCCAGAACCTCACAGTTGATGGAAAGAGCTAATCTCTTCAGAGCCCTGTTAAAAGTCCCATTTATGAGGATTGTCAATACTTTGACTGAAATAGAAGCTCTTTGAAAAACTCTATTCCCAAGGCATTATTCCTATTGAATTTAAATTAGGGCTCAACTCTTTAGGAAAATCCCTAACCCAAGGGAATTATTTAAAGCAATAGAAATCTGAAAAAATAAAATAAAAAATAGAAATCCACTGGTAATAGCATCACAGGTAGCTAAGGCTGTGCTTTCAGTTGAGCCAAATAAGAGCTTACCCAGAAAGCAATTTTAAAGGAATACCTGGAGAGCTAGATGACCACAGTGGACTTTAAAGTTCTGATATTCCTGCAGACCTAGAAAGCTCAGAATGGTAGTATGCATGGCCAGAAATAACCTAGGAAATGAGAAGAATCCAGTCACTTACTTCTAGTTGATGTTGAGGCCCTACACAAGCAAGCAATGAAAGCTGAGGCTGACTTGTAAGCTGCCTGAAATTTGAAGGTGTGCCTTTGTTCAAAGATCTCCTTGGCCAAGGGTGGTAGACTTACTGGCTCTAGACATTTAAAAGAATCTTTTAGCTAATTGCTAAGTTATATTGATTTAAGACTGACCCCTAGAAGCCAGGCTTAAAGGTCAGAATTTTTTTTAAGTTCATCAGAGAAATAAGTGGCTGCATACTGTAGAGAATACAAAATCTACAGAACTGTCCACAGAAATCATTAAGCAAATGAGTAGCAACAACAACAACAAAATTAACAGTAACAACACACAGGGAAGTTCAGATACAAGAGTTGATACACTATCCTATATGCCCAGTTTTCAACAACAGCAGAATGAGAAGAGAAAGAGTAATGGGCTGAATAGTGTCCCTTCAAAATTAATATGCTAAACCCTACCTCCAATATCTCAAAATGTGACTGTATTTGGATATTAGATCTTTAAAAAAAAGTAATTAAAAGTCTTCAAGAGTGGTTCCAATATGCAGATGAGGTTAGAACCATAGAATCAGAGGAACTCCGGGCTCAGGGATGCCAGGCATAGATGTGGGAGGAAGTAAGGGGCTCCTCTAAAAACAGGGAGATTAAGAAAAATGTGGGCTTCTGGTTCAAGATTTCAGAGTAGAAGGATGTGCATTTATCTCCTCCTTTAAGAGGACCAGAATCACAACTAGTTGTTGACAGGAGGGCATGAGAACCACCAGAAAAAGTTACCCATGTCCAAAGACAAGAAGCCACAAGATAATAGGAGGGGCACAATCACAATAAAACTAAATTCCCTGCCGGGTGGGTGACCCACAAACTGGAGAACAATAATCCCAAAGAAGTTTTCCCACTGTTGCAAAGGTTCTGAGCCCCACATCAGCCTTCACAGCCTGGGAATCTGACAAAGGAACTGGGAATCAACAGGGAATTTTGACTTTGGAGCCCAGAAGAATTTGGTTATAGGACTTCCACAGGACTGGAAGAAATAGAGACTCCACTCTTGGAGGGAAAAAACCATCTTGCTGTAACCAAGACCCAGGGGAAAGGAGCAGCGACCCCACAGGAGACTGACCCAGACCTACCTACTAGCGTTGGAGGGCCTCCTGTGGAGGCATGGGTCAGCAAGTGCTCACCACAAGGGTGGAGGCACTGGCAACAGCAGTCCTTTAAGGTCCTGCTTGGTATAAGAACTCCTAGAGATCACCATTAACCCTACCACAGAACCCAAAGACCCAGGGCTGGGTCGCCCCAGGTTAAACAACTAACAGAAAGGGGACACAGCCACACCCATCAGCAGATAATTGTGTTAAAGCTTTATTGAGCAACACCCATCAGAGCAACACCCAGTTTTTCCTACCACCAGTCCCTCCCATCAAGAAGCTTACACAAGCCTCTTAGCCTCATCCACCAAAAGGCAGACAGAAGAAGCCAGAAGAACCACAATTCCACAGTGTTAGAACAAAAGCCACATTACAGAAGGTTAATCAGGATGAAAAAGCAGAGTTATGTCCCAGATGAAGGGATAAGATAAAACCCCAGAATAACAATTAAATGAAGTGGCGATAAACAACCTTACAGGAAAAGAATTCAGAATCATGATAGTGAAGATGACCCAGGATCTCAGAAACAGAATGGAGAAGATGCAAGAAATGTTTACCAAAGAACTTCAAGAACTAAAGAACAAACAAATAGAGATGAACAATACATTAGAAGGAATCAATAGCAGAATAACTGAGGCAGAAGAATGGAGAAGTGACCTGGAGGACAGAATGTTGGAAAACACTGCCAGAGAACAGAATATGGGGGGGGGGGGGGCGGGGAATGAAAAGAAATGAAGACAGCTTATGAGATGACTGGGACAACATTAACTGCACCAACAATCACATTATAGGGGTCCCAGAAGGAGAAGAGAGAAAGGACTTGAGAAAATATTTGAAGGCATAGTAGCTGAACACTTCCCTAACATGGGAAAGGAAATTGTTAACCAAGTCCAGGAAGCACAGACAGTCCCAGGCAAGATAAAACCATGTAGGGAAACACTGACACATAGTAGTCAAACTGACAAAATATAAATACAAAGATAATATATTAAAAGCAACAAGGGAAAAATGATAAATAGCATACAATGGAACTCCCATCAGTTTAATAGCTGATTTCTCAACAGAATCTCTACAAGCCAGAAGCGAATGACATGATATATTAAAGTGATGAAAGTGAAGAAACTACAACCAACAATATTCTACCCAGCAAAACTCTTGTTCCGATTTGATGGAGAAATCAAAAGCTTTCCAGACAAGCAAAAGTTAAGAGAATTCAGCATCACCAAACCTGTTTTACAGCAAATGCTAAAGGAACTTCTCTAGGCAGAAAACACAAGAGAAGGAAAAAACTTACACAAAGTAAAATTCAAAACTATTAAGAAAAGTGTAATAGGATGATACTTATCAATAATTAGGGCTTCCAATGTTGTGCTAGTTGTAAAGAACCCACCTGCCACTGCAGGAGGCATAAGAGAAATGGATTTGATCCCT